CCTACCTGGGGCCTCTCCAGACCCACTCCCTGCCTGACCTTCCAGGCCAGCTGGTGCACCCCCAGATGGGTGGGAGCCCAAAGCCAGCACTGCCAGGCTCCCTGGAGTACCTGTGCCTGCCTCCTGGGGGACAAGTGCAGTTAGTTCCACTGTCCCAGGCCATGGGTCAGGGACAGAATGTGGATGTGGAGTGTGAGTCTAGCCTGGGGACCACAGAGAGCCCTTCCATGGAACCGAGGGACAGCCCTTCACTTGAGCTGAGTGTGGAGGAACAAGGGCCAAAGGACAATCCAGTGACTCTGCCCATAAGCTCTGGGGGCCCTGAGGACCCTGTGGTGGCCTCTGGTTATGTCACCCCTGCAGATCTGGTGCTCACCCTGCCCGCAGCGTCCCTGCCTGTCTCTCTGGGCTCCACTCTAGGGTTCCCCTCAGCTCAGGGCCCCGGTCTCTGTCTCAAGCTGCCTGGGGTCCCTCCTGGAAGCCCAGCTCTTCCAGCACCAGAAGCTGATGACTATGTGGAGCTCCCTCCAAGCATGAGCCAGCCCCGCAGGTCCCCTCTGGGCCATCCTGTCCCTCCTGTGCCAAGCAGCCTCACAGTGAGGCTAGGAGAGCAGAGGGAGGAGGTAGCCCCAGCATCCCCACACCCCGAAGGTCTCCTTGTTCTTCAGCAGGTGGGGGACTACTGCTTCCTCCCTGGCCTGGGGCCTGGCTCCCTCTCTCCACATAGCAAACCACCTTCTCCAGGCCTGTGTCCTGAGACTGTGGACCTAGACCAGGATCTGTCTGTCAAGAAGCCTCCTTGCCAGCCCATGCCCCAGGTGCCAGCCATTCAGTTTTTCAAGTCCCTGAAGCACCAGGACTATCTGTCACTGCCCCCTTGGGACACCAGCCAGCCTAGGAAGGTGTGCTGAGGTCACTCCCTGCCAGTCTCACCAGCAGCCCTGCATCTCAGCCTGTAGATCTCAGCCTGACATCGCCACTGGAGCCCAGAGGCTCCCTGGGTGAGATGCAGTCTTCTCTGCTCTCAGCCCTGACCTTCAGCAATACCTACCCCAACTCCAGTTTCCTGGCTGTGGTAGGATCTCACCTCCCTCCCTCTGACTTGTTGCGGTAGGGATGGGACCAGAGAGGCCTCCCGGGGTGAGACCTGCATGGTCTGTTTAGGGTTTAAGGGCTGCCATGGGCTGTTTGTCCCCCTCAGGCACCAATATATGGCACAGTTCTGGCTCAGTGCGGAGGTAGGAGGCTCTAGTGGATACCTTGGGGGCCAGACTTGGAGAACAGGTCAGCTCACGTCACCCCAAGAATGTGTGTGGTCCTCTATGACTGTCTGAAGCTCCTGGGTAGACCCGAGGGTCCTTTCAAGGAGACTGGGGCCCTCATTATGTAGAGAAGTCACAGATATGGGCAATGCTGGCTAGTGGCCATAGTTGTGGCCAGGCTGGAGGGGTGGAAAGCAATAGGGGAGGCTGGACTTCAAGACCTCATGGTGTCAACTGCAGAAAAGCCAGGGTATAAATCCCTCGAAGGACATGGGCATGGTGACCACACAGGACAGCCCATCCAAAGACTCAGTCTGTACATCAGGGCTGCTCTCCCCTCAGAATGCCTGTGCACCTGTGGCTCCCTCTGGCCTCTGGTGTGGGCCTGCTGTGGGATTGTGGTACTAGGGAATTACTACCCTGTTGACACTGCAGGCACAATGGCATTACATCATTCCATCTCACTTACATTATTTCCTCGAGGTCAGGTTTGCACATAACTTCTGTACACATCCCGAGTATGGGCTTTTTTGTGTTGTTGCTGGGGGAGGAGGGCTCGGGGGCTGAGCCCATGAACGATTTTGTCCCTCATAGTGTCATCGTTTTCAGATAAGCCTGCACAGCTGTCTCCACGTGGCCTTTTGTGGGGCACACACGTCTCCGTTCAATGTGCCCTCTCCTAGTTGTGTGCAGGAGGCACAATGGCACCTCAGCACTTACATGTCTGCATCGAGAGAGACCAGTTGCCGAGCTGAACCCCTCTTTGGGGCCACATGTGCCTTCGTTTACATTCTTTCTGGTTCTTTCCCCCCTCTTGAGCTCTCACGGGAGGTTTTAACGTCTCTAGCACACATGCTTACACTGTAGAGCTCTGTCTTTCTGTCTCCTGAGGACCTGGAGCCAGTGTCCACTGTGTCAGTTCTTCGCCCATGCTCTCCATCTGAATCTGAAAGGCCCTTTTGTGACCCACCAAGTCCTCAGATGGGCCTGGTCTGTCCCCGCATCCTACCTCATGGCCCCACTGCCTAGATGGCAGCACGTCTGTGTTCACCCTTGCTTTTGACCTGTGGCAGGCAGAGCGAGTGCTCCTTAGTCCCAGTTACTGCAGCAAAGAAAACCACTGACATCTTGAATATGTGTCAGTGGCAGAGTTTATAATAGCCTCTCAATACATTCTACCGTAGACTCTTCAGGGAATTAAGCAAGAACGACCTCCATGTGTTAAGACATTGACTCCAAAGTGCATTGAAATAAAGGAACACTGTAATAAAATATGTGTAACATATCACACAATGGTCTCTTTCTCTCTCTCTCTCTCTCTCTCTCTCTCTCTCTCTCTCTCTCTCTGTGTGTGTGTGTGTGTGTGTGTGTGTGTGTGTGTTGGAAGGTTAGGGCAGAGGATATTTGGACTCCTGAGTGCATTGTCATGAAGACAGGTTCCACTGTGCCATGGGGACAGGATGCTGAGAGAGATCCTGGCTGTGGGCCCCAGGTTGATAAGCAGTTGAGCTTATGAGAAAATCCAGGAGAGAATAAGAGGGAGGAGCAAAATGTGAGTGAAAGGGAGCTCTGATATGCTGGCACTTGAAAGTCATTTGTCACCTCAAACTTGGTTGAATGGAACGTCTCACATTTGCTTTATGCTTACAAGAATGCACAGCTAAGATTCTGCCTGTATTATTCATTAAACAGTTGAGAACAATATGGAATTGATTCTTAATAGATCCACTCAAGTGACTCCTGGAGTGACTCCCTCTGTCAAGCCTGTTTTTGTATTGGCTTGGGGAAGTTAGGGCGGGTGCTGTCTCAGGTGGTTTGTACAGGTATGAGACCAGACAAAGACTGCAATCTCAGGCAAGGGCAAGAAGGCAGAGGTTCTGAGAGTCCCTATCTGGGATATAGGAACATGATGTGGGGAATTGGAGTGGAAAACAGCTGGGGTGAGATGATGGTGACTTCACTGGGTACTGGTCAGAGGGTTGAGGGCTGGGGGCCATAACAGACATGGGCTGAAGATGGTAGATAAAGATTTAATGACCATAATAAGCAAAGAGTCACTATAAATCAGTAAGGTCACACAGAAAAATAAAAATACTGATCAAAAGTTTATCCTCACTAGTAACTAGCAATATGGGATTAAAATTCGATATATTTTTATTTTCCAGATTGGTTAATATTAGTGGAGAAAATCTTAACATTCAGAACTGGGAAAGGCATGAGATATAATATTTTTTATAATACCTTTTAAATGGAGTTTATTTTTTGTGGTTTTATGTTCATGGCAAATTTAGATCCATAGAGTACCCATGTTCCCCAAAACTGCCCCAACCTACAGGGCAGTCAATGACGAACTGGGAGACACTTAGGGGAATCGAGGGGTAAGGGACAAGAAGAATGACAGCAACTCCATATTCTGATCAAGCTCTCAAACTTTATTTTCTCAGGGGAGGCTTATATAGGACCATGGGCAGGATGTGAGCAGGGTTTGCAAGTGGGCAGGATGAAAGGGTCAGTAGAAGGAATGCCCTTAACTAATCTTTAACTGTCTGTAAAGCTACAACAGGAAGAATATCCTGAGTTATTCTTTAACTGGTTGTAAAACCGCAAGCCTGTATCTAGGAATGTTCTGCTGAACAGTCTGCTTACTTCTTAAGAGGCAGTAATTTTCTATCTCAGAGGCCTAAGGTAGTGAGTATGGTGATGGTCCCCAAAACACAACCACCCTAACACAAGGAGCTTGCATGGTGGTTATCTCGGTCCCTTTGAGCTACTATGACCAGGATTCTTGTGATTCTGGAGACTGGGAAACACACAATGAGAGTCCATTGGAGGCAGATGTGGTAGCAAGTGCATGCAATCTCAGTGCTCAGAAGGCTGGGGCAAGAGAATTGCCACAACTTTGAGGGGACATAGTGAATTCAAGACCAATTAGAGCTATGTAATGAGTTTCATGCAAGGCTGGACTATATATATATCAAGACCCTACCTCCAAAACCAAAGGCAGGCCCTTCCTACTGTTTCCTCTTGTGGTAGAAAGGGTTAGAGGGTCTCTTTGGTGAGAACCTCCTTTGTGAGAGTGCCAGTACTGGCTGACAGGGTTGAGACTAAATGACCTCATCACATCTGTCCAAGATCTCTTCTGAGCCACCAAAACTTTAGCAACAGAGTGCACTAGGAGGTCATAAATTCTCAGGCATGGCAACAGTGGCACATTTGATGAGTGTTTATGGACACACCACTGCCTCCTGGTGACAGAGGTTGACTTTTAGGTGCACATTTGGCATTTCACATTATGTAGAATTGGACAAATGCAATAAGGTCGATGCTCACCACTACAATGTCACACAGCTAGCTCACTGCAAGCAGGATCTGCTGTCTGCTAGTTCATTCCACCTTAATCTGCTCCACCTATTACTGTCCCCACAATCTGGCATCCTCAAAAGAGAAATAATAGGGATTTTTGAAAGTGTTATCCACACTAGAATCATCAGCATCAGTGGTGATGAAACACTAACTGCGGTGTCACAAAGACAAAAACTCCCTAGTCTATGGAATCTGTCTTCATGACAATGCACTCAGGAGTCCAAATATCTTCTGCCCTAACCTTCCAACACACACACACACACACATACACACACACACACACACACAGACACACACACACACACACACACACACACAAACACACACACACACACACAGAGAGAGAGAGAGAGAGAGAGAGAGAGAAAGAGACCATTGTGTGATATGTTACACATATTTTATTACAGTGTTCCTTTATTTCAATGCACTTTGGAGTCAATGTCTTAACACATGGAGGTCGTTCTTGCTTAATTCCCTGAAGAGTCTACGGTAGAATGTATTGAGAGGCTATTATAAACTCTGCCACTGACACATATTCAAGATGTCAGTGGTTTTCTTTGCTGCAGTAACTGGGACTAAGGAGCACTCGCTCTGCCTGCCACAGGTCAAAAGCAAGGGTGAACACAGACGTGCTGCCATCTAGGCAGTGGGGCCATGAGGTAGGATGCGGGGACAGACCAGGCCCATCTGAGGACTTGGTGGGTCACAAAAGGGCCTTTCAGATTCAGATGGAGAGCATGGGCGAAGAACTGACACAGTGGACACTGGCTCCAGGTCCTCAGGAGACAGAAAGACAGAGCTCTACAGTGTAAGCATGTGTGCTAGAGACGTTAAAACCTCCCGTGAGAGCTCAAGAGGGGGAAAGAACCAGAAAGAATGTAAACGAAGGCACATGTGGCCCCAAAGAGGGGTTCAGCTCGGCAACTGGTCTCTCTCGATGCAGACATGTAAGTGCTGAGGTGCCATTGTGCCTCCTGCACACAACTAGGAGAGGGCACATTGAACGGAGACGTGTGTGCCCCACAAAAGGCCACGTGGAGACAGCTGTGCAGGCTTATCTGAAAACGATGACACTATGAGGGACAAAATCGTTCATGGGCTCAGCCCCCGAGCCCTCCTCCCCAGCAACAACACAAAAAAGCCCATACTCGGGATGTGTACAGAAGTTATGTGCAAACCTGACCTCGAGGAAATAATGTAAGTGAGATGGAATGATGTAATGCCATTGTGCCTGCAGTGTCAACAGGGTAGTAATTCCCTAGTACCACAATCCCACAGCAGGCCCACACCAGAGGCCAGAGGGAGCCACAGGTGCACAGGCATTCTGAGGGGAGAGCAGCCCTGATGTACAGACTGAGTCTTTGGATGGGCTGTCCTGTGTGGTCACCATGCCCATGTCCTTCGAGGGATTTATACCCTGGCTTTTCTGCAGTTGACACCATGAGGTCTTGAAGTCCAGCCTCCCCTATTGCTTTCCACCCCTCCAGCCTGGCCACAACTATGGCCACTAGCCAGCATTGCCCATATCTGTGACTTCTCTACATAATGAGGGCCCCAGTCTCCTTGAAAGGACCCTCGGGTCTACCCAGGAGCTTCAGACAGTCATAGAGGACCACACACATTCTTGGGGTGACGTGAGCTGACCTGTTCTCCAAGTCTGGCCCCCAAGGTATCCACTAGAGCCTCCTACCTCCGCACTGAGCCAGAACTGTGCCATATATTGGTGCCTGAGGGGGACAAACAGCCCATGGCAGCCCTTAAACCCTAAACAGACCATGCAGGTCTCACCCCGGGAGGCCTCTCTGGTCCCATCCCTACCGCAACAAGTCAGAGGGAGGGAGGTGAGATCCTACCACAGCCAGGAAACTGGAGTTGGGGTAGGTATTGCTGAAGGTCAGGGCTGAGAGCAGAGAAGACTGCATCTCACCCAGGGAGCCTCTGGGCTCCAGTGGCGATGTCAGGCTGAGATCTACAGGCTGAGATGCAGGGCTGCTGGTGAGACTGGCAGGGAGTGACCTCAGCACACCTTCCTAGGCTGGCTGGTGTCCCAAGGGGGCAGTGACAGATAGTCCTGGTGCTTCAGGGACTTGAAAAACTGAATGGCTGGCACCTGGGGCATGGGCTGGCAAGGAGGCTTCTTGACAGACAGATCCTGGTCTAGGTCCACAGTCTCAGGACACAGGCCTGGAGAAGGTGGTTTGCTATGTGGAGAGAGGGAGCCAGGCCCCAGGCCAGGGAGGAAGCAGTAGTCCCCCACCTGCTGAAGAACAAGGAGACCTTCGGGGTGTGGGGATGCTGGGGCTACCTCCTCCCTCTGCTCTCCTAGCCTCACTGTGAGGCTGCTTGGCACAGGAGGGACAGGATGGCCCAGAGGGGACCTGCGGGGCTGGCTCATGCTTGGAGGGAGCTCCACATAGTCATCAGCTTCTGGTGCTGGAAGAGCTGGGCTTCCAGGAGGGACCCCAGGCAGCTTGAGACAGAGACCGGGGCCCTGAGCTGAGGGGAACCCTAGAGTGGAGCCCAGAGAGACAGGCAGGGACGCTGCGGGCAGGGTGAGCACCAGATCTGCAGGGGTGACATAACCAGAGGCCACCACAGGGTCCTCAGGGCCCCCAGAGCTTATGGGCAGAGTCACTGGATTGTCCTTTGGCCCTTGTTCCTCCACACTCAGCTCAAGTGAAGGGCTGTCCCTCGGTTCCATGGAAGGGCTCTCTGTGGTCCCCAGGCTAGACTCACACTCCACATCCACATTCTGTCCCTGACCCATGGCCTGGGACAGTGGAACCAACTGCACTTGTCCCCCAGGAGGCAGGCACAGGTACTCCAGGGAGCCTGGCAGTGCTGGCTTTGGGCTCCCACCCATCTGGGGGTGCACCAGCTGGCCTGGAAGGTCAGGCAGGGAGTGGGTCTGGAGAGGCCCCAGGTAGGGACCATTGAAGTCAAAGCTGGGTGTCTGGGTCTCAGGTCTGCCTGAAGGGGTTGGTGGGTCTCGCTGGGCGTTGGAAGTCTGCTCCATGGGTGCGGATGAGGCGGCTGGAGTTGTGTCAGGTGGATCTCGGACAATTTTAGGGTCCTCTATGGTGAGAGGTGACACTTCACTGTCCCCCGAATGTGCACATGACGCCCTGTGGAGACAATAGAGGTAGAGATGCGAGATGTGGAACTTAATGCATCCCCCAGAGCAGGTGTGGCTCTCTGGAAGGCCTGACCCCTCCAGACCTCACAGTGAGCACAGAGGCACGGTGGGGATGGGGCTCTTCCAATGACACAGGCGTATGTTCCGTGTCCCACAACATGATGTACCCAGAGCTCAGTTCACATCACTATCCTAGGCTTTGTCCTTACCTTCTTTCTGCTCCTTGCAGCCCCAAGGCTGGGCTCACATTTGCCTGGGTACCATCCGTGCCTTACATCCTTCTACCCATGGGGCCACAGCCTCTCCCTGACAGATGGGGCTCAACTCTGCCTACACAGGCTGAACTCCTGCAGGTATGCGCTCTCTGCCACCATGAGGCCACTGCAGTGCGTGGCTTACCTAGGCAGCCTGGCAGGCAGAGGTTTCCCACTTCAGGATGTTAACTCTGGTCCCTTGTCTATCTCACCCTAACCTGGGGAATCAGGAAGTTCTTCCTCAAGTCTACCTGGAGTGCCACTTGCTTCAGTGGGTGTCATCTCCTACGATCTCTTCAGAGGCCCACAGGCTACCCTGACATGCACAATGGAGTCATGCCCTCCCCTAGGCTCCCCAAGGGTCAGAACCCAACCACTCACTCACAGGTTGCTCTGTGGCCCCTGGAGAGTACGGTCCTTAGTGGGAAAGGTCGCCATGCTGCTGTGAGACCAGAGTCCTTTACCTCCGTCCTGGAAGGGGAAGCACATCAGTGCCTGTGAATGTGGCACACATGTCGCCCAGGAGGGAGGGGACAGTGGAGGATGGCATGTGTCTATGGTGTCTTCCGTGAGCTCCAGACATGGGAAGAATGTCCCTTCGGTGGGGCTTGCTCAGGACCCTGACTCCAGAGAGCAGGAGGCCTCCCGAGGGGCTGACTTTCATCAGCTTCTCCGGCTCCTGAAGGATCAGGGCACTCTGTTCCCTAGAGCTTCTTCCCCCAGGGCATTGGAGTCTTCCCATGGCCATTGTCTCAGGAGGCACTGACAGCCACGTTCTTTAATCTTGACACCCCTGTCTCGGGACCTGAACCTCTGAGGGCACCCTTGAAGCAGCCGGCTCTCCCACCAGCTCAGAGACATGTTTTGCTAGAATCAAGTCCTCTCCCCAAGGCCCTTAGCCTGCTCTGCACCCTCCAGGAGCAGCCCCTCCTTAGCCTTCCTCTGCAAGGGAATGATAAGTTCTCTGTGTGGTCCCGGGCTGCACTCAGGGCAATCAATCTGTCGGACTCCTGCTTCTTAGGCTACCCAAGGAGTTCCAGAGACCCAACCCCTGCTAGCCCTGCCTCTTGGATCTCCCGCCCTTCACCACTGTGATAGTGATGGGACAGGGGGCCAGCAGTAGGGCCTGGCTTCCTACCTGGAACAGGAGGCTCTTGCTGGGGTTGGGGATTTTCTCTTTCCACTTCCTGCACAGCCTGGAAGACAGCAGGAAGACCTGTGAATGAGAGGTTCCAAGGACCTCCCACACGGCCAATCATGTGTCCATGTATAGAGGGAAAACTGAAGCCAGAGGATGAGTGGCAGAGCGGGAACGGGAATGGTAGTGTGCTGGGCTGTGTCATCCCTGTGACCCTGGGCCCCGGTGTCCACTTGCCTCTGTCCCCAGACTGCACTCACCTGTACCCATAGACACAGCCAAAGCGGAAGGCCAGAAGCAAGATGAGGATGAGGAGGACCAGGATGATGACCATGCCCCATGTGGGCATCACTTGCTCAACAAGAGGGAGAGGTGCGTTAGGTGGGAGGGTCAGGATAAAGGCTAAGGGAGGAGGCTAGGGTCCCCTGGGCTCTCTGTGAGGAAAGCTGGATAGATACCCTGGGAAGGAGCTTTGGGGCTGAACCCAGCGCTCAGGGTGTGCAAGTTCTGCCCTAGGCAGGAGCAGCAATTACCCAGAGGGGACTGACTGGCCCTTGTATCTGGGGAGACTTCCTGGAGGAGGCGGCATGGAGCATGGCCGGGTCAGAGGAGATCCAAAGTGGCCAGCAGAGGGTCTCTTCTGGCAGCATGCTAGCCTTCTTTGCCTTGGTCCTGTAGGTCCCCTTCCCGTCTCCTTGTTTCCAGACTTTCTTCTGCCTGGCCGGCTGTCACCCTGAGACTCCCTCTTCCCCAAAGTCTACAACGTGGATTGCTTCTCATCACTCCCTGCCTCCCATGTTCTCTTTTACCTTCCCCGGACAGTACCTTGCAGAGTGTGTTCAGGTAGTCGCCACGGGGAAAATGAGAGCTGAATGCAAAGGTGCAGGGAAGGGGAATGGGCAGGACCAATGGATGCCACCAACCTCCCGACCACAGGCACTCATGTGTGTGTACAGCCAGTATAGCTTTACAGCGATGGTAACGGGAATCTCAGAGTGATCAATAATGGCTGCCACAAAGTCCAGTGAAATCAAGTGCCCTATAATTAGAGGCCTAAGCCCCAGCTGATAGTAGGAACAACATTGAGAGAGATCCTCTCTTCTCCCAAGTACCCACTACAGTGGGTGTCATATATACCATCTGCCAGGGACAGACACAGGAGAGGGGGAACAGGGTAGATTGGATGTAGAGCTTCCCTTGCTCTGTCCAATGGGACTGTCCCAGGAGTGTAGTGGTGGCCAAGAGACATACCCCAATCGGTGGTCCAGGTGCACTCTTTGCTCCACTCACTCCAGATTCCATAGTAGTCAGGGAGGGTCTTGACCCTCACCCTGGCCACGTATGTGGTGGACGGCAACAGCAGTGGCAAGACCATGCTGTGGGCTCGATCTAGGTTTTCTGTCTTGATGTCCTGTAGTAACAGATGTGTTGAGGTTCTAGTCCTGTCCAGGATCCCAGTATGGAGTCTACTATGATCAACCACTGTAGTGGCTTCAGATGCCACATATTCCAGTACTGACTGTCACACCTAGGCTCAAGCCCAGACTCTTTTTATCTCCCGATTTATACGGTATGCTGCTGTGCCCTAAACTGTGCCTGATCTAGCACTGCCTAAATTTGTCTCGTACTGTTTTGCTTGGTCCTAGGCCCTTAGATGTGGTGGTGGAGCTGTTGCTGGTGGTCGTGGGAGGTGGTGGAGGTGGTGGTGATGGGGGTGGCTGGGGTGTGGCTGGTGGTGTCATGACTGAATTCCTCTGACTCTTTGACCCACTCCTGGGCTTCAGTTTCCTCTTTCCCTCTCTGAACAGCCTTTCTTTGGAATTGTAGAACCCCCGCCCTGCATCTCGGTGCCACGCCACTGCAACCAGATGTGTGTTGGACAGGACCAGCCCTGAGCAGTGGCTTACACCTTAGCAATGACACCCTTGGCCCAGATCTAATTCCTGGGAGGAAATACAGTCAGATCTCAGTGATACCGATGTCTTCATTCCAGGTACCTCTGTACCCCACTCTGTCTCTGACCTCTCAGCTCAAGGACAGTGATTAACATGCGACTGTGTCATGTCACCTCCCTGAGCCCGAAGCCTTCATCAAGGAAGGGGACTGTCACCTGTTGACTCTGGGGGTCCATGGGGACAGGGGTCAGGCTCTGGGGAATGAGACTGCCGTGGCTATTCTCTCTTTCTTTTTCTCCATGTGCCCTACTAACCCTGGCTCCTGGAACTCACCTCCCAGCTCTCCGGTTTCCTCTTGAACTGGACCTGGAATTTGTGCTCAATGTGAGGATAGGCCATTTTCTTAGTTTCCCAACGTAGGTTGTAGCTGTCTCCATCCTTGGTCACATTGAGAGCTGGAGGGTCCATCTGGACTGGAGGGGGGATGATTTGAGGAAATGTCATGGGGTCCTTCCTCCAGCAGAGTGTATCCCATTATCCAAGCTGTACCCAGGTGCTCTCCCACTGGACCTTCCCCCCAGCCCCCACCAGTCACTCTGACTCTTGAGTACTCTGTGGGGGTTTGAATGAGAATGGCCCCAATAGGCTCATATGTTTGAATGCTTGTTCTCAGTTGGTGGAACTATTTCTGAAGATTTAGAAGGTGTGGCCCTTTTTGGAAGAGGTACATGACTGGGGGGCGGGCTTTAAGTTGTACTCTGCCTCTGGCTTGGGGTTCAAGTTGTGGGCCTGATGGTGCATCATCCCCTTAGTTCTAGCCCCTGGGAGGCAGAGAGAGGCATATTTCAGTGAGTTTGATGCCAGCATGCTCTACAAAGCTAATTCTAGGACAGCCAAGACTAAATAGCAAAACCCCTGTTCCCATGGACCCCCAGAGTCAACAGGTGACAGTCCCCTTCCTTGATGAAGGCTTCAGGCTCAGGGAGGTGACATGACACAGTCGCATGTTAATCACTGTCCTTGAGCTGAGAGGTCAGAGACAGAGTGGGGTACAGAGGTACCCTGGAATGAAGACATCGGTATCACTGAGATCTGACTGTATTTCCTCCCAGGAATTAGAACAAAAACAGAGGTATTCCAGCTGCTGCTCCAACTTCAGGCCCCTTTTGATTGCTTCCCCTGCTCAGCCAACATGAACTTTGACCCTATGAAACTATAATCCCAAAGTAAACTCTCTCTTTTGCAAATTGCCCTGGTGAAGTTGTCTGGTCACACTATAGAAAAGTAAGACAAACCCCCAAATTACCAAAACACAGTTTCCCTAGATGGTCCCTGGAGGAGTGGTTGAGGTAAGCCTCCATGGTGAGGTGGCCCAAAGCTTGGTGCTTCTGCTAGTGTTGAATGTCAGGAGCAATAAAAAGATTCCCTATCTAGGTGCATAGACTGTTCCAGGCCCTGGGCAACACACTCACTTTGTGGGAATACCTTTGCTCTGCTCTCCCCGTTCCCTTGTGAGGTACTCTGACTTCCCCGTTTTTACACACAGGAAAACTGAACCCCAGACCAACTACAGAAAAGGTGTGAGCAGTAGAGAGCTTGTGTCTCCAATGTCCTGTGTCAGTTGCTCCCCTCTGCTGCTTCAGTGACCCTGGGAGTTGCCTGAAGCCAGGATGGGCTAGTACGTCCTTGCTATTCTAAAAGCTTCCTCACAAACACCCACACCTCCAGAGTTAGGCCTTCCTATAGACTTGGATGAACACCTGCCCACCACACTGTGGCCAAACTGAAAATGGGAGACCTTTGGTGGCAGTCCTGCCCACTTGAGCAGCAGACCACCAGCTGGGACGTGGCCACGTGTGCAGCATTTCTTATGTAGACCTGATGTCTATTGTGAGAGAGGCGGGACACTTAAATTAAGTCGCCCAGTCACGCTGAGATTCTGTCTCCGCGGCAAGACAAAAGATTCATAACTTGAGGACTTTAGAGGGCTTTTTACAGACATAATGTGGATGACTGTAATATACAGAGGGACTCTCCCGAATCATAGGAAACCCTTTGCCACAGGGAGGACACCAAGAAAAATGCTGCATGTGAACTCAGGTGACAAAGAGATTGGCTGCCAAACGTGGCACACATTACTGGATGGATGGAAAGCCTCCTCTTCTCAGGGTCCTGGCCATGTACCAGGAGGTGTGACATGGATCTGTAAGGAAACCATCTGTTGGCGCAAAAGTTAAGCATAGAGCAGAGTTTGAGAAGTGAGAACATTTATTGGAGGATAAAGCTGGAAACCTCAGAGGGAAAAGACAGTTACAGGCTAGTGGTCAAAGGAGGGACAAGTGTGCAACTGAGAGGAAGCAGAAGGGAAGGAGGAAAACAGGCTTCAAGTGGCACTCTTGAGGAGTGGCACGTGTGATCGGCAGCAGAGTGAATGACGGGGGTGGGGGGGAGAGGGGGAGGTGCCTTCCCTGGTTCCCCTTTCCCCATCTCTCTGCCTCTTTCTGTCTCTGCCATTCCCTCTCTCCATTGCATACGCCTGCATGTAGATGCGGAGATGCGGGTGCCTATACATAGGCATGCAGAAACAACAGAAACATGTCTCCTGACCATTCTCTGTGTCCTAGTCCCTTAAGACAGGATGTCTCACTGAACCTGGATCCCAGATTGGTAGCCAGAAAGTCCCATCAACCCTCCTGTGTCTCACCAGGTACATATGAGCATACTCACACTTTTGTGTGGGTGCTGGGATTCGAACTCAGGTCCTCATGCTACTTCATCAATCACTCTTACCTATTGAGACACATTCCTAATCCCAGAATACTTATTTTATCACTTTGAGTCACTGTTCTGAAAGTCTTTGCAAATGACAAAGATGCCAAAGAGATCCCTGTGTTTGTTGGGGTGACACAATGAGCCTCTACAGTCTTTGGAACCCAGGGAGAGGCGGGGCAAACTCACTGTGTCTAGAGCTCTTGATGAACTTCCCTTGTTTCCGAGGCTGAACAGAGACTGTGTACTGGCTGTGTGCACTGGGGTTGGACACGGGGAGACTGCAGTGGTAGCGGGTACAGAGGCTATCCTGCAGCTCCTCCACCACTGGGGAGCACTCCTTCTCCCTGGGGAAGCATAGCTGAGCTGAGAGCAGGGTCAAAGCAGGCCGAACCTCAGAGAGGATCAGCCCTGGGGATAAGAAGAAGCAGGGCCAACAGAGGGGACACTCACGGTGCCGCTGGGCTGGAGCGGTAGAACAGCCCAAAGGAAACAGAGCCAGCCATCTGGGTCCTCACCTCCCAGGAGCAGTTGAGGAACCGCGTGCCATCGAAGAAGCACTGTAGGTTCTGAGGCTTGGCCTGGTCCCCTGTGGGGACACAGGACACTCACTCAGTCTGCCCTGAACCTTCTCCTGGGTTGGGACATTAGGTGACTCAAAGAAGAGGGGTTTATAGCAGCAGAACCAGGCTGTGGATATCATCCACCTCTGCTCTGATCCTACCTGCTGTGTGTCCCCAGCTTGGGAAGACCCAGGTACCTCTGGCTCATCTTGGGAGAGGGAGCCAGGGCTAAATGTTGAGTGTTGGGTTGAACACAGGGACACAGGTGACCCTACACATTGACCAGCACTTGCTTCTGCTGTTGCTGTCATGACTGTCGCTGTCATTCTCAGAACATACTTAGGGCCATAGAGCTAAGAGTGTGTGAGATAGAGTGGCCCAGATAGAGTAGTGGGGACACAGGCGTGCTGGGAGGTGCTGATGACAGGGTAGGGCAGATGATGCAGCCTCAGGTGTAGACTAAGTCTTCACTGTCTGGGCTTGGAAGCGGAGCACTTCCTAGGAGCCCCTTTACCTGGCTGGGAGTCCCACTGCACCTCAGGGCTCCATGTGCTGGGCCTTCCAGAAAAGCTTGAGCCTGGGGACAGCCGAGTGCGCACACGGGCCACGTAGATGTTGCTGGGTAGGAACAGCTTTGGCTCCAGAGCGGCCCACAAGTTGCTGGTGTGAAGGCTGGGGGCATCCTGTGGAGACAGGGGGGCTGAAGGAGGACCTTGCTAGGTCATCCCACAAGGCTGGCGTGGATGGTTCAGGGTCCTACCTCCCAGGAGTCCTGAAGACGTTTGTAAGACACCTCAAACTGTAAGTCCTCTTGTGACAGCCAGGGGATCTGGGCATCCTTAAGGGGCACGCTCCACTTCAGCATGAAGTGGTCCCCAGAGGGGCTGATGTTGATGTCCTTGGGAGGTGGGGGCCGCACTACGGAGGAGGGAGCAGAAGGGTTGTGAGAGTTGCATGCTGGGGCACCTGAGGGCTGCCTGGCTTTCTGGGCACCACCTGGGCCCAGGTTCAATGCTGACCCCATCAGCTTATGACCAAGGAAAAGAACCTCAGGACCTTCCCGCTGGAACCTGGAAACCCGGGCACCACATTTGACAGCAGTTCTTCCTTATAGGGCCTGAACAATCCATTCAAGGGGGCCTCCTCCTGCTCTGATGTGCACTGTGGCCTTCCTTCCAGCAGAGGGCGAGAGAGCCATACCTGCTCCCTCTTCTGCTACCTATTCTCTCCACAACTCAGTACCTAGGGGTGTCATTGCCCAGAAGAAGTGCTATCTCTCCTGGTGACGCTCTTGGACTCAGCTCCTCAGGCGGAACCTCATGTTCCTCTTCTTGCTTCTCCACAGCTCATTGTAACTCCCATCCCCGCCTTGTCACGTCAGGGTGAGTGTAAGTTGTTCTGTCCCTCTTCCCCATTTGAAGGCTTGCCATGCAGCTGCCTGCAGCTCGTGTTTTCCCTGCCATTGTCCAGGCTTTTGCACTTGAAGCTTCTTGTAGACAATGAACATGTCAGGGTTTCCCAGCGTGTCCCATTCTCTGCAGACCTGCCTCTGCCCTCATCCCTTGCACTTGTGGTTTCCTGGCCAAGAATTGCTTCTGACTCTTAGCTCCTCCAAAGCAAGAACTCAGTGGCAAAACTCCTCCATGCATCCTGGGAAACTTTCCCTGATTGCCAGAGCCCTTTGACTTCTGTCCCCTGCATGTGGCAGCTGGCTCCCTGTGTCTCCCAATCCTTCATCCTGAAGCTCTGAGGCCCCTAGGAGTAGGGACTCTCTCAGACACCAGAGGCATTCACTAGACAACAGCTCTCTACCTAGCATTGCTGGGCGACAAATGGTTCCCATGGTGTCTAAGAGCCTGGCACATGCTTGGGCTTAGGGTGACATTACAACCTTTAGTTTCTCCTTCCTCTGTAATGCTGGGCACATTTCTGCTATAGTCCCCAAGAAAACCTCACAGACGATCATTGCTTCCACCTAAGGCCATGCTGTTGCAATGAGCCCAGTGGACATGCTGCACATCCCTGGGGTCCGAGGAGGGTGGAGACAAGGCTGGATCTGAATGAGGAGCATGGAAATGCATGGCAATGTGACCTGTCATGGTCCTCCCTGCTCCACAGTGGTGCCTTAGGACTACTGTTTGTTTTGGTGCCTCAGCCACAGGGCAAGGTCTTGCAGCCTTGAGACAAGACAACAGAGACCAGAGTTGTGTCACTTGGAAAGTCCTACAAGAGTCACAGGCACGGCCCCTCCTAGAGGAGGCTTGGGGCCATGGTAGATGGCAGAAGCTGCTTGGACAGTAGGAAAATCAGGCAGAGGCCTCACATCACGTCTATTCTAAACCCCAGGAAAGGGTTCCTAAACCCCAGAGATACTCACTCTAGGTAGGCCCCCTCCAGTAGCCTGCCCACTCCTGCACCCTCTTCAGAGGCAGGACCCCTGCTCCTCACCATGCTGGGCCAATGGAACCAGGAGCTGGATGCCCACATCCCGATCTGGCTGGAATGAGTAGAAGTCTTCATCTGCAATGCTGAAACTTGTGTAGGGGATGACACATCTTCTGGGCACACAGCGGTGTGGGGACGGGCAATCTGACCACAATAGGCCTTCACTGAGTTCACAGGACACTGGATAGTCCCTGCCAAAGAACATTTATTTCATTATAGCTCCTTCTACATGCCTACTTTTATCCAATGTCAGTGTCAGACAGTGAACAACACACACACACACACACACACACACAAATACACACATATACACAGAAATAGAGACACAGAAACACACACAGAGACACATACACACAAATAAAAATTATTAAAATACACATATATACAGAACACATGTATACCTTGACACAGAACATGAATAATACAGACACACACACACACAATGATATACACACAAAGACATCCACACAGAGACACATGCATATATACACAATAGAGATTCACAAGGACACAAACACACATACACAGCGCAGACACACAGACGTGCACACAACATATACATGCACACATATCTTTGCAAGCAGTGAGAACCCTTTTGGAAACAGGCACACATTAAACTACACATTAACATAAGTGTTATGAGTACATGTTGAATAGGATCTAAAGACAAGGATGAGAAGTTGGGGTTTGGCTGTGAGAACAGTTGGACTCACTGCATGTGTAATATGGGCAGAATCTCCAAGGTCTTGGGCAAAAGCAGGCAGTTTCTGCAGCTGGCTGATTGCAGCAAATGCAAAGTCCCTGGGGCTGCCAACAGTCCTATAACTAGAATGCAGATGGAGTGTGTGTGCAGCCTAGGTCCCAGTTAATGAACTGGCTCATGCAGTGCTCACAAGAAATCTGAGTGCAAACTAGGGGAAGCCTAAAAAGCCCCTGGCTTCAAAGGCTTTTAGGTGACTGTGAAAATGGCTGATATGCCAGTCATAGGGCAGAGCAGTATGTAAATCTTGGTATACCGTGAGCTTTGCTGTACACAGCACCTCTGATCAAGACCATACAACATTGTCAATATCAATCTCTAGCTGAAGTTCTTCTGCTCTCTCCTCTCTGTACCTCCAACTGCAAAGTCAACTATCCCTGAGAAAATAAACTAAAGAGACAGGCTCTTGAGACTCTAGCAGAAGACTAGCAGGTTAGTACAAGAAATCTAGCAGAGTCACTGGATCTAGGGTAAACATTCAAAAGAAGTAGTTGTTTTCTAGAAGTACTTAGACCATAAAGAACAGTGACGGTTTTCTGTTAGCTCTGTTTTCTGTTTTTCAGAAGGAGCTTTACAGCCTTTGCGTGACTTTATCACAAGACAGTCCTGGCAGCCCTGCTGCCATTGTTGAGTACTGCTAAAAAGACACAATGAGGAGCAAAACGTCATGGGTGTGATGTCTTCCTTTACCAGACTTAGATCGGTTCAGGGAGATTATTTTACCCAAGGAATAACTTGTGTTTCTGTCAATAAAGATGTTTCTGCATTGGTGGTATGGGTTCAGAACTTCAGAGATAGTTCATTCTGCCGCCTCATAGCCTGTTTACACACACACACACACACACACACACACACACACACACACTTTCTCTCTCACACACACACACCACCACCACCACCACCACCAACAACAACAACAATCTTACAGATTAATACTATCTCTCTAGATGTACAATACACAGGACACCAATGACCCCATGACCATATCATTGTAGCATGTGTGTATGAAACCCAGATTACACTGAAACATATGACTGCGTGATAACTGCCTCAAAGCCTACCCGAGACCAAAAGGACCTTCTCCCCAAGTCCCTACAGAAGTCATACACTTATGACAATAGTGCAGGGTGGTCTCTGGCAACTCCTTCCTTGGAAACTTGTTTAGACTGTGTACTTGTCAGTCAGTCCTTTCTCTGACCCTAACATCTTGTCCCTGAGTATTGGAATTTATGCGGCAAGCCAAACAGCCTTGAGTTCTGCTGCAGGAAATGTAGGCTCCGTTGTGTGCTTGTTAATAGAAAGCATGTCAGGAACTTTGACTGAGGGAAGAAAGGGGACTAGTTTCTGTGCAGGATTCAAAGAATTTCACTGAGTAAGGGAAAGACTTAGGGTGGTGGACTAGGGACATGGCACCATGCTGGTGATTGTAAATAGATTGGATGGTGGTGGTGGCTGAGTTGCAGACCTACATCTCACTGGGAGACAAACTTAGTAGTGTTCACTGAGGAACGGAGGTAAAAGGCATTTTAGAGCAGCCATCCCGGTCATTAATCAAGCTACCATTTCCTCCCAGGTAATGAAGCAAAGGGTGGAGATGGAGGCAAGAGCAGAATTTGGCTTATGGCATTGGACAAGAAATGGTCATTCACCCAAGAGTCTCTGCCCATGGCCTACAGTGGGTTCTCCAAAGACTGTATACAGATAGGAGGCTAGGGTCACGTTTAGAGGTCGCACTCTCTACAGTAGACAGAAGAGAAGGGGGGGCAAAGAGAACAGCAGTTGTTAGAGACACGATGGGACCTCAGTGAGTGTGGAAGCTGAGACTCAAATGAAGGAGAACTACCAGGAGGTTACCCTGGGTGGGTTGGGCCATGAATGCCCAGGCTTGGCCATTTGGCTTAGGGTACTTCTGAGTGGCAGGTGCAGTTTGGTTCCCTTGGAGGCAGCCAAATCCTGGGGGAGAGTTTTCAGCCAAGAAATATCGGAAGGACATTTAGGGAGTGTGGACTCCTTAAAGATGGGCTGTGGTAAGGAACCAAGGAGAGGGTGACAGGGTGCTCAGGCAGGAGAGGCCTGGTGATGCACCACTGCAGGTGTTGGGGATAGTGGCTGGGCATCATTGGTGATACAGGGAGCGGAGGGCTGCTGGTGCCAGCCAGCAAGGTGCTTGTGCTGCTACACCAATGGACTCGGTGGTACGCACTTTTCTAGCTTGTGGTAGAGGGTCATGTTAATGAGGCCCTGGGCATCTTCCACGTCCGCCCAGCTGCAGATGATTCGTTGGGTGTAGTCATTGTAGCACTGCAGAGTCTGCACAGGGACCGTTTCTGAAGAAGAGAGGCAGGAGTCACTATCTCCCCTCAGCTGTCCCCTGTCCTTCAACTCTGGGATTTGTTTGTTTGGTTTTGCTTTGTAATTTTCAGACAGGGTATTACCTTGTGACCCTGCTGGCCTGAAACTTTCTATATAGAGCAGGCTGGCCTTCATCTCCCAGAGACCCTCCTGCCTGTGCCTTCTGAGTCTGGCGTTAAAGGCCTGCACCATGAAGCCCCCGTTCGCACATCTCTTTTAATCAGCCACACCTCCAGCTTCCTGCTGAGGTCCAGCACTCTGGTGACCAAATAGATGGAGGGCCTGAACCTGGTAGGGCTGTGCTGGGGCCTCTTCTCTTCTGTCAGGAACCTGAGATCCCAGTGGATTCTCAGCTGTGATGCACAGGCCCTCACTATCTAAGAGAATTGCTCAGGCTTGCCCTGCTTTCTGAGGTGTCACTTGGCAGGATAGACCCTCAGTGCTGCCATATTCCCATCCAGGGTCCTGATCTGCTGAGCCTTGGCCCCTGAACCTGGAATTAGTAAAGGGCATGTGGCTCCCACATGTCATGGAGGAAGTCTAAAGGGCACTGAGGACTGTCTTCTAGTCTCAGAGGCTTCTAGGTTGTCCAACAGGACCTCTGAGAAGGGGAGAGGGCTAGAGCCATTCTGGGGGAGAGGGCCTTAAGCCAGACCCCCAGAAGCAAGGATGGAGGAGATCCTGAAGCTCTCAGGGGAGGAGAGTGCCTGGGGGCGAGGCAGAGAAGACCCTGGCTCATTGGAGTTTGGGGCTATGGGTGCTACATTGAGCAATATGAGTACAAAGGGACAGAGTTGGGCTAGATGATCCAGGACCAGGCAAGGATGAGCAGGAAGATGGATAACAGGGCAGATAGGGACCCAGGGGAGCCCTGAGGGAGAAAAAGAAGGTTACAGTAGAGAAAGGAAGGCAGAGATGGATACAGCGACTGGAGATGCTGGGGGTCTGGGAGTTTCGGGGGGATATAGTGGGCATGGCTCTTGCCTGACTCAGTTAAAAAGAGGGATGAAAAAGAAGGGGACTTCAGACTTACCTTGTGCCTGTGTCACATCAGGTCCCCAGCAGAGAGCCAGCAGGGCCATGGAGAGCATCCCCCAGGTCAGTGCCATCTGCCGGTCCATTCTGGGGCTTCAGGTGGCTGCCCAGGTGGGCTGCAGCTATGAGCAGGGTGCTGTCCTCATTGTCCTGGGGTTCTGTGTTGCTGTCTGGCTGGGGATTGGATCACACTGGTGTACAGGTCTTATGAGTCTTTCCTCATAGACTGCACCCTCTCCGACTGTAGAAGGAGCTGTAGGCTGAGAGTGCCCAGAACACTCCTGATGTCCAGTGGTCAGAACCCAATGAGAGACCCTGATTTGTGGTATCCCATGACTGTTCCCTTCCCTTAAGCCTCACTGGCCTAAAGCATGACCATGGGAGAGATGGGACTAATGGCCTCAGAGGCAGCAGGTCCCCCTAAATCCCCAGAGCAGTGACCTGAGATCAACATGCTTAAGTTGAACCAGGCCACACAGAGGAGCTGAGACCCACACCTTTGATGGACTCAGCTGTGATCACTGTCTTAACTCTGTCTACACACACACACACACACACACACACACACACATCCACCCTTGTTCACTGGCACATCACAGCCTGGTGCTCTCCCCACCTCTGCTCCGTTGACCATCAGTTCTCCCACAGGCCCCTCTGCTTCCCAGTTCCCCTTTCTCTGAAGTCTGGGGATTTCCTCCTTTTCATAAGTTCACCTGGGAAGTACCAGAGGAGCAGAGTAGTGGCTGTGGTCCCTTCTCCTACAAGGTTATTTGAAACTTTAATCAACATTCACAGAGCACTCACACCTCTGTCCATCTATGCATCTGTCACCCTATGTATCTATAAACTCTCCATCTAGCTACCCATCCTTCCATCTATGTATGTACACATGTCCATTTTTCTGTCCATCCACTGTGTGTATCACATACCTATGTCTTTCAACCCATTCATGTATTATCTACCTCAATCTATCTATATTTCTATCTGTAGATCTATCTACCTTTCTATCTATAGATCCATCTATATTTCTTTCTATAGACAATTCTATCTATCTACCTATCTACCTACCTACCTACCTACCTATCTATATCTATCTATCTATATCTATCTATCTATCTATCTATCTATCTATCTATCTATCTATCTATCAATCATGTTTGCCTATCTCTTACCTAGATAGTCAGTGGACATCTTGACTGGAACAAGTGTTATTTCACCCCAGAATGCTCTGTATAAATGGAAGAGGAAACAGGAAACAATGTAAAATGATGGAATATTCCATTTGAAAGTGAGAATATGACTGACACATGAAAATGAAAAACAAACGTCAAACATCTGTCTCACACCACTCCCCACCAGAGGTGAACCAAGAAGTTACATGCTAAGACTGCAATCGCACCAGACCATTGCAACTACACCCTTGAGCTGTTTAAGCTTAGGAATAATCAAAGATTCTGAACAAAGAGTGATGAAAGTGTTTTGCAGCCCAACCCTCTGCCTTAAGGCCACCAGAGTCGCCGAGCAAAGGACAACATGAAATATATATATATATATACCAATGTCTTAATCTGGGAGGACTATTTTCATGGAACACCACTGAGAGGTTAGTTCATAAAAATCACAGACATTTCTGGAAGTTCTGGAAAATGGCAAAGCCAAGGTCAAGGCAACACAAAATTGAGGCCTCTTACTCATGGGCTTCTTACTGCTACCAGCTTAGGGGAAGCATCAAGGAAGCTTTCTGGGATATCTAATATATAGACCCAGATCCCCTCATAAAGACTCGCCTCCGGAGACCCCATCAGCTCCCAAAGACCCCATCTCATTTAACCTCCCATGGGGGTGTAGTCTCAACATAAGAGTTCTGGGAAAAATGGGTATTCGGTCCCTAACACTTTAAATCGTGGAGTTTAAGTTACCATCATCGACTGTAAATGACAACAGAGCTGTGTCAAAAAGCACACAAACAGAGCATTTAAACAAACACAGAATCATGTCAGCACTGACTAAGGTGTAATGCCTGCCATCAGCCAGGAAATGTGCAGAGAGCTTTATGAAAATTGATAATGTCCTGGTGAAGGTGGGTGTTAGACTCCTTACAGACAGGAAACCCTATAGGGATGAGTGACAGGTCCACAATACTATAGCTGTGAGAGGCTAGGGCTGAGTCCAGGTTGGCTCTGGACCCTTCCTCCCTCTAACCATGCCTCCCTGAGAGGTGGTGTTTCCTGGTTGTCGGTGGTGGACATGTCCTGTGTCTGCTCCAATGCACACTGCTCTGAAATGCTATCATTGACTACACAGAGCACAAGGACAGGAAAAGTTGAATCTCTGTGCCTGCACTCTTGGTTGTTGCAGAGCCAAGAGCCCTTCAGACACAGACTGCTGTTGTCAAAATGATGTCTGAAGTTAGACACCTGGGATTCTGGAAAAAGCAATGCAATGATGAATCAAAACACAGAATGGACACTACAGAGACGCACCTGACCAAGGTGGGTGTGCAAAGATTAGGGCACAATCAAGGCAGGATCACTGTCCAGGGCACCATGTAGGTTCTGAAAAAGAAACCAAGAAGAGCCCAGAGAATTAGGGACACGTGTGTCCCCAAGTGCCAGCTGCCTAACTGTCCCATACCTTCTTGGCTTATTTTGTACAGAATAAAAGGGACTTCTCACTCTCTCCAGCCACAAGACATGGTCACATAACTAAATGCTGTCGAAGGACATGTGAGTGGAATCCCCATATGAATCTTTCCCAAATGCCACTTAAAAGGCATGGACTTGTGTGGGTACACGTCTGATATTTTTCCTTTCTTCTTTTCTTTCTTTCTCTAACATATATCTCAGAAGTGATGGTTGGAAATCCAGCAGCCATTTTGGATGCTTAGGTAGGGATGGAAGCCACATGCAAGGAAGGTGCAGCAGGAAGAGAATCAGGCTTCCTCTTGTCACTCTGGAGTAACTAGCAGAGCCCAAGAACCACTCTGCCTCTTTATGTGAGGGGAAACTAAACACCTGTGGTGTTATTCGCTATGTGTGAGAGTTCCTATATGCAACTAAAATGCACCTGGAAAAACCCTCTGGATTTAAAGGAGATGGCTGTCTCCTAACCAAGAAACGGGGGGGGGGATTTGATTCAGTAGGGGGCTGCTGTGTACTGGGCAGAGACCGAGTACAAATCTCCAAGTCCCCCTGAAAACATGGCATTCACTTATACGCTAATGTGAACACTCCATCAATCAAGAACAATGGATAACCCTAGAGAAGCTTCCAGAAGAAAATGAACAGCAGACTATTCCAAAAGGCAAAAGGTCATATGGACAACCAGGTTCTCAGGAGGGACCCTGGTTCCTAACCACACACTGAGGACACAGGGAGACGTAGCAGGTGAAAGCATTTGCAGAAACCCAATGATGTGAGTTCAAGTCCTGAATTTCATAACAGAGAACTGAACCCAGAAAATTGCCCTCTTACCTCACATGTGCTATGGTACATGTGTGCCCTGCCCCACAGAAACAATAATAAATCCCTAAATAATACTAATTAAAAAGACCAAATTCTCCTTTCTGTTCCCTGGTCAACCAAAGTGTTTGCTTACAGGAAAGGCATGAAGAAGTTCCAGATATTTCCTGAAAAAGAGTTATTCCAGCATTGTTTTAAAGGAAAGACAGTTTGCAAGCAAGAGGGCCTGCCAATGGGAACAGAGGAACCAGTTAAGTAGGGAAGAACAGGCCATGTGTGGGGCAAAAGCGAGTTTGCACACAGCTGTGCAAGGGCAAGGCAGAAGCTCACATGACTAAGGTGGGCAGTGGCGGTGAGGCAGGCTTGGAGGAGAACTGAAAACTGCCTTGATGAGGGCACAGCATGCCAATGAGCCCAAGTGCTGGCATAGAATATAAATTAGGAGGGCCACTGATGACATATAAGGATTGGGGCAGGGCCCTGGTGTTCTTTCTATCCCAGCTACCAGGGGGGCTGATGTGGGATTATTGCAGACTAGCAGTTTGGGGCTAGCCTGGGCAACACAGTGAGAATCTGTCTTCAACAAAACAAAACAAGTAAGGGATAAAAGTCACTGAGGGTGAAGGGTTTGAGAAGATACAGGAGGATTGTGGAGAAAACAGAAGTGTTTCAATGCCCTAATTCCTGACCCTATAAAGAAATTGAACATTTGGGACAGAAGGAACAAACAGAAATTTACCCCAGACAAAAGCAATTTCACAAGCCCATTGGACACAGATTTGTTAAAGGAGCACACATGAGGCCACAATAGAGCATTTGACCAGGGAAGGAGAGCCAAGGAGAGGTCTACTCGGTGCATCGCCAGCAAGAGGCAAAAGCACCAGTTTACTTGACAGGGCCATGAAAATGGCTAACCTGCCAGTCATTCTGATGACCTGAGTTTGTCTGCCTGAAACCCAGGCCAGCGTCATAGCCACAGGGACTTGTAGGCTGCCCCTCCTAGGCAAGGCAGACATAGGATAAAGGCCCACCTCTGTCTCCAGGGGTCAGTCATGCTGACAATAATCCTGAAGTTCAGTGCAACAGAAATGAAGATTCTAGAAGGATGTTTAATGCCCTGGGTGGGCTCATTGTATATTCCAGGAAACGGGAGAGAAGAGGCCTGTTGCATTTCCAAAGAAAATAAAATTAAGTGTAGATAAAGCAAATAAAATAAAATAAAATAAAAGTATAACCAAGTGCATCAGAATTTAGGAAGCTCGAGTTTAGTCTCTAGCCAGGAGGGGGAGAGGGGCAGCACACTTCTGACTGGTGGCTTCTAGCCTATGAGGTACCATGCTTAAGTTATGTTGCTTCCTTACATCCTACCCTCCATTCAAAATATAATGGGGATTAAACATCTGAAACTCAAAACTAACACTTTGAGAGCATTAAAAATACATCTTTAATCATAGGGGTAAAATACAACATTGAAACCAGAAACCACAAAGCAAAACGACACCAAACCAGCTGGCAAGGCTGGAGAGGTGGTTTGGTGAGTACAGGGCCTGCGTTGCAAGGACAAGGACCTGAGTTCGAGGTCCAGAAGCCACATGAAAAAAAAAAAAGCTAAGTGTGGCAGTATTTCCTTTTGATCCCAGCATTGGGGAGGCAGAGAAAGGCAGAGCTCAGAGGGCTTTCTCACTTAGTTCCAGGCCAGTGAGAGTCTCTGTCTCTGAAAGGAGGTGGATTGCCTTAAGGAAGGACTCCCAAGGCTGTTGTCTGGCTTTCACGTGCACACACACACACACATATATGCACCCATGCATCCATGAATGCACACACACAGCAAGCAACACAGTGACAGATGATGGAAACATTTTTTATGACAGAAGACATCTTAACCCTGACAAAGGAAAAAGAGAAAGATAGCCCCGGAACTATATTTTCATCACATGTAAGTAAGTACAGATACATGGACTAACTGGTTTGGCCCTCAAACATGTGGCTGAATATTATGAAGCAGTACAAAGGGAAACTTCATCTTGCACACTGAGACTTTTGGCGGGGGTGTAGACTTCTGATGCATATTCAGTGGGACAACTTCACAATAGCTATTAATATTTTAAACATGCCTCTGGGATATGAGTAAAACCAGAGACACTGCAAGACTCATAACCCAGAGTGTGTAAGTTGTTCTTGTCTGCTGGGGAGATAAAACAGGGTTGGAGGAATCAAGTGACAAAACCAGGACAAAGACAGAGAGCAAAGAGCCTAGAGAAAGGGTGGTGGGAAAGGTTTGAGGTTTGTGTATAGAAAGGGAAACATATTCTGGAGTAGGCTAGACCGGCAGATGCTCAGGAACCTCAGAAAGACAGCCTGTTTGGAGGGATAGGTCATCTCTGAATCGCACTGCTGGAAAGAGAACATGGCACCCAGAGAGGGACGCTTCACTCAACAGGGTGACAGCAGAAGAAAGGGGACAAAATGGGGGATGAGCCAAGAGGCTCTGCAGAGGTCCCCTAGCCCAGCAATGGGCTGGCACAGCAGTGAGAGCCGACCTGTCTCACTAATGGAGAGATTGTAGAAGGGAGCGTGGTGCTGACCAAGAGGCCGGCCAGAAGAGTCCTCTCATCCTGTCATTCCTTATGAAAAGAGGTGAACTGGTCACCAGGTGTGGGAGCTGCAGCTCAACACCTGCTTGTATAGATTTAATTATATAATATATATTATAGATATTAATGGAAGCTTAGTTTAGAATTATGAGTGTGGAAAAATAACTGTATGCTAATGGGAGGCGAGAATGTGACATGGGCTATGAGATGTGAGGAAAACTGTTGGGATTTTATGTTGATTGTTTTGCTCCGTTTTTGTACCAATGGTATGGTATGGTTACTTTGGGAAAATGTTGGGTTTTTCATGTGAAAAGGGTTTGGTATTCTACATTGCTCCTGTGTCTAAATGCTGGAGACATTTCCCATTAGGCGTTCACTAGAACTGACTTACCTGGCATGTCAAAGGGCCACTCCGGGGTTTTGCTTTGTGTGTTTGTGGTGTGCACACACAACACTTATGTAAGCAGTGTTTGCTTTGTTTATAGACAGTCACTAACCTAAAGCCATGGAGATAAGCCCATGTTTCCAAGATCCTCCCATTCTAAAGAATGAGTTCAGATTTGGTGGGATTTGCTGAGCCAGAACCTTTCAAATCTAGCAGAGGACACAGAGCTTCCTCATGCAGGTCAGACTGGATAATTTAAAAGCAGCCACTTCCGAATACCTACCTATAATCACACAAATGCAGTGATGTGTTGTTACACCTGTGACTCTGGATTATCCTCACCCTTAATAAATCAGGTGTCTGTGACTTTGACATTAAACACTAATGAACCCGTGCCCTCTCAGAGTACTGGGACATAACTCTCGGCACAATGATGAATGGAGTGTGAGGAGAGTTTATTCACTATGAAACTACAAAGAAGGGAGATATGATTTAATAAAGTTAGAATCTGCATATGCAAAAATGTTCTGGCAGAGCCTCTGAGCAGGGAAAACCCTATAGCCAGGCACAGAAGCCTGTCAGTGAGGCAACAAGCCAATCCCCCTGAGTGGACAGGAACACACACACACACACACACACACACACACACACACACACACACACACACACAAACAATTACCAGCCTTCACACAGGCTCTCACCCTCTCACTCTCTGTCGTGGGGAAAGCACAGAGCATTGGAATGAAACAATTATGTCATATTTGCTGTGAGAGTTTCAATAAGAGCAATTGCTGTGGACAGAGACCCAGTGAGCAAATTCTTACAGAAAAAGAAAGAGAATTGTGTTTCTAGGGGTGGATGGGATCCTTTCATAGTTAGGAATGTTTCCTAGATTGACAGAGGGTCAGATATGGAGGAGGAAGGATGCCCAAGGGGTCTCAGGCCACTTGCTTTGCACTGTGTGATGTAATCCAGGAAAATCAGAGGCTACATGTGCTGTGGTCAGTGTTGCTCAAGAAATCAGGATTTGAGGCTTAACATCTTCCCTGGGGTAAAGTGTGTAGAGGTCTTGCAGACAGCAGCTGAGAGACCAGTCCTTAAGAGAGTGAGACTGAGTGAGGCCATCCCAAAATCCAGTCAAGAGGATCTAGAGCAGTGGTTCTCAACCTTCCCAGTCCTGGGACCCTTTAATACAGTTCCGCATGTTGCGGTGACCCCGATGGTAAAATTATTCCCATTGTTTCTTCGTAACTGTAATTTTGTTACTGTTATGAATGATAACTGAAATATCTGTGCTTTTCCATGGTCTTAGGTGACCCTAGTGAAAGAGCCATTAAACCCCAAAGGGACTGGGACTCACAGGCTTAGAAATACAAAAGGATGCAAGGGAGATGCCTTCCTGAAGGGTGGCCAGGCAACCGCAGTAAATTGAGGCTGAGCGCAGGTGTTTCTATATCAGCAGGTCTGGGTGATGGAACAGACTCAAGCCCCGTGGACCCTGTGACTTAGCACTAAGATTCCCAGCACAGACAGACAGAAGATCCTAGAGACCCCAGGGCCTCACCAGAGAAGGATGGAGGTCTGAGGTTAGATGCAGGGAGAGCAACAGCAAAGGAGGATGAGTTCACAGGGCAATGTCACTGACGCCCCAGGGTCCATTACCAATGTCAGGTCCCAGCAAAAGATTTGTTAGAGTCTAGCTGATGGCATGATAGCATCTGAAGTGACGTTTCAGCCCATCCAGCCAGAGGTAGGGAGAGGGGTGGCAATGCACCATGGAGTAGTAAGTGAGGGTCCCTTCTCATTGCCAGATTAGCTTAAAGGCACTGTGTACTTGGTTTGAGCTGGGGCAGGGAGCCTCAAGCAAATTCTTGAGTCACAGGTATCGAGATTCTCTCAAACAATGGTTCATGTATGACCTGCCAGACACTGCAAGCAAGACGTTATGATATGGTTATGTTGTGAGCTATGAGATGTGACAGTAGTCAGGGTGCCTCTGACTCCGGTCAGCAGGGGAGCTGAGTGTATCCTCATTCAGAAGGGACAAATCCCCTGCTATGTGATGAGACATCTCCCAGCAGCACCTTAGGTACAGAGCACACACATCTGTGCCCAAACCCAAATGATGTGTAGTGGTCAGAGCTCAGTGTGATAGGGGGAGAGGGAGAGGGGAGGAAAGAGAGAGAGGGAAAGGGAGAGAGAGAGAAAGAGAGAGAGAATTTATCTACAGGACCAAGGATCAGTCGGTGAGAAGTATAGACTCCTTTGGTACTAGGTGTAACTTCCAATCTCATTTTGGAAGGACCCAGAGACATACCCGAACATCCACCTCTCTCTCTGTTTCTGTCCCTGTCTCTCTCCTTCTCCTGTCTCCCTCCATTTCTAATTGAGAACACAGGGGTTATGTCTCCCACTCACCCTGTCCCACAGATGTGTGACTGGAAGCTTGGGGCTAGAATAGACTTATCACATGAGCTTTGAAGTAAGATGGAGCAGTGTGCTTACCCCCAGGCAGAGCTTTCAAGGGAGTCCTCCCTGCCACCAGACCTCCAGTGAGCAATCTGGGTCCTCACAGAGCCCCAGAGCAACCCTAACTCTAACCCTCCCAGAACACTGGCTGTGGACCCAGCTGGTTACTCCTGGGTGCCCCCTCTCCTTAAACTGCCTGGGGTTGGGGACCGAGTCTTTGCAAGGATGCCTAGTCTAACTCCTTAGGTCCCCGGAGTAAACTGCCACCCCAGGTCCTTCTCCTCCTGTCCCTTTCTCTCCTGGAGACCCGCACCACCCCTACTTGAGCCCATCTTCAGCTCTGTAGCAGGCAGCCTTACCTCTCTGCATTGGGCACAGGCAGCCTCCTTCGGGAGCCTCCAAGTAGCAGCAAGCCCTAGGCGCTTCCTATTTATTTGTGCCACGTCGGGAGGAAACAGACAGCAGAATGAGGAAGCACCAGTGCCCTTTCACAAGCAGCTCGCCTGTTTCTCAGAATTGCGGACATGAGTCTCTGATAATACACACGACATTATTTCTGCCAGGGAACCTTGCACCCTCTGCCTCCTGGGCAGCTCATGTACACTTCAAGTCTCAGCCCAGGAATGAGCCCCTCCATGCCACCTCCCCTGAGCCCTCTGGAGGAAGCAGACACAGTGGGCAGCAGCCACCTCCCTGCTGACTGTGAGCCTGGAGCCAGGCAGAACTAGGGTGGACCCAAGGGCACCACTGCTCACCATGTGGCCTTATGCAAATCAGCTACGGTAGCCTCTTCAAGCCTTGGGAAGCACTTGAGAAGCAGAAGGGTTTTGAGGGAAAGCTATTGTAGTGGAAAACCAAAGTTCACACCCCTCAGCAGCAGAAGCATTCTAGATCCCTGGGGGGAGGGGGGTGTCTGCTTTGCTTTCTGGACTGTGCCCTAGAGTCCAGTGTGACCTTCCCCCTACTTCATCCCAGGGCAAGTGAGAGTCTGCTCCATTCCCTTCCCAGCACCCATCCATGGCTCACACCTCTTGCCTGGGTGTGAAGGAAATAAACAAAAGAACAAAAGAATGAACAACTCTGGTGGGTTATGATGAGGTTAGTGAGCCACTCCTTTGGGGCAACATTTAAAGGAGTACCAAAAAATTATAGAAATGGGTGATAATTTGAGTGCAGGTAATATTTTGACACAATATGGTAAAACACAAAACAAATGAGTGTAAAAATACAATGGATGCAGTGTCAGCCATGAGTGACACACTGGTCATTCCCCTTCTCCCAGTGCAGAAAAGAGGAGGCCAGACAGTCAGGAGAGTGACCCCCTGGCAGGGGACAGGAGTCAGCTCAGGATGAACAGAGTTGGCCAGGTGCAGGCTCAATACCACCTGCCAACCTCATCATTCTTTTCCTGGAGATCAGTATGTTCAAAGCTCATGCTTTTAATCTATGACAGGGCAGATGCCTGATTTTCTGGCACCAGCAAGTTTTGTTTTGTTTTACATTTTCTTGAAAATGAAAGTCAAGAAAACTCATAGGCTGACTGGAAGTGACTGATGCAGTCCATGGCACGGACAGCAGATAATGGCACACCCTTGGTCCTTGGGGTGGACAGCAGGTGATGGAGCACCCTTAGTTTGCTTAATTACGTGCTGAATAAATCCTTTTGCCTGTGCAATAGCTATGCCGGAGTAACTTTACCAAGTGGCAGTGTGTGGGACTCATGGGGAACCCATGAGAGGGAGTCTTTCACTGTACTCAGGGGCTAACCACACAAAGCAGGTGGCCTCTATCAGGTCACTGTGTCTGTTATCCTATGTTGCCTTGAAATTCAGAGAGATGAGTATCTTTTCACACATTGTGTGTTTTTCCAAATATGTCAGTGCTTGAGAAAATTAACACATCATTTGGATGAGTCCAGTGTACAGTGCATAAATGAAATGGTCTTCTTTATTATCCCCCCTACCCAGGATACTCTAGACATGTAAGTTGACAAACAGTTCCTTGACTATTTGCTTGTACCCCAGTGACAACATGTCTTACTTGGCAATTGGAATAATATCCCAATAAGGCACAGTAAAGTCCTTGGTATTCTTGTACTATAGGGACTGTCTTTAATCTCCTGCCACCTGTTTGTGACACCCATCCCTTTCTTATCATGGAATGAATTTTAAGTCTTGAGTCAAAGTGAAAATGAATGCAGATGGCTAGTGGCAGAAAGAGTCCTCTTAGAAGGTCTTCACTCAAAATGACAACAGTGTGAAATGTCTAAGCCATCCAATAGGTATGCATGCCACTGTATTAAATTGAAAGTCTCTAGTATATTTATGCAATGTATCCTATGGTTTTCAGTTCAGAGTCTTGGAAACAGTGCCTTAGTCACAGAAAAAAAATACTTTTAATAATCTGCTGTAATTTTTAAGTCGTGTTTTTAAATGTTTCCATCTATTCACATCTATCCTAGTTAGTCCTAACCACCCTAGGGCCACTGGAGAACAGAGTCTCAAATGAAGACCTGTCCATGTCAGATTAACCTTGGGCAAGTCTTGGCTGGGATTGTCCTGACTGTTTCTGTGCTGGTGATGAAAAACCTGTACAACGTGGACCCTCACGCTCCGACTCAGGAAAAGCGACACCCCAAATAACTCATGAGAAGCTGTCTTGATGCAACAGCATGAGGTCTTTTATATTCCAAGTGTACTAGGGTCCACAGTCATACCCCAGGAGGGGTAGAGGACTGAGGACCTCAACTACAGGATTGAGACAGCTTTTATAGGGTTTACAACAAAGCCCAAGCATTGTAATCCAATCATCTCATAGCATCAAGAGCCCGTGCAATGCAGGCCAATCAATTTAAACCATCCAAGCCTGCGCTTTATAGACCAATCAGTTTTCCATAGCCCTGGAGGTCTGCATTTGTGTGGGGTCCTAGGTGGGGTGACAAATGGCAGTTAGGTTAGGTCACTGGGGCGGGGGGGTTTCACAAGCAGTTTACAAAGTCAGATAAGCAGCAAGAAGTGCGACCTTTTGCCTATTTACTGGCTTAGGATAGGGTCTGGAATATAAGGTATGTAGCATTTTTAAACTTCTAGCTTGCTGGGGTCATTGGAGAGTTAGTTTGTATTTTTTCATCCTTACAGTGACAGGATTTCACTATGCAGCTTGGCTGGCTTCAAACTCACAGAGATCTGCTTGACTTTGCCTGCAAATGTGTGAGCAAGTGCAATAGTTGTCTTGATTGTTAATTGATGTAGGAGGGCCCAGCCCACTGTGGGTGGTACCATTCCCTGAACAGATGGTCTTGAACTGTGTAAGAAAGTTAGATGGGCATGAGCCTGTGAGCCAGCCAGCACACTGTGGTTTCCACTTCTCATGTTTCACACTTCTGCTTGAGTTCCTGCCCTGACTTCCCCCATTGATGGACAGTGAGCTAAAGGAAGCCCTTTCCTCCTCCAAGTTGCTTTGGTCATGGTACTTGTCACAGCAGAAATAAAATCAGGATAACACATGCACCTATCCACCTGTTCATGTTTTTGCAGAATCAGGCATCCAAATGGTGCAGCTATTTACTGATGTTACCATAACATCAAGGGTACCAGCCTTTAAAGTCTTAAGGACTGAAACAAAGCTCACCTCTGAGGACAAAGGATTGGATTGATGTTCCTTCTCTTGTGAAAAACCAAGCTTGTTGTACCACAGAGTTTGCCCCCAGGACCAAGCTCATTCCAACTGCCACAGATCTAAACAAGTACAGTCTCACAGGTACCATCCCCAGCCCATGCTTACATGGAAAGGACAGACGCATGGCTCAGCTGAGCCACCATGAGAACAAAACCTACAACCCACACAGCTTGCCCTTGAGAAGAGCATTCAGGAAGTCTCTATCCCAGGGTGTTTCCAAACTTTGCCCTGCTCCTCACTTTCAGATGGATGAGGTCGTGGTGTGGTGGGTGGCAGAGGGCGGTGCTGCCCAAACTGTTCTGTGGCAACTGGAGGCAGACTGGGCTGCCACTCGGTACTGGCTCTGTGGACTTAGCCCATGGGCATCCAGAAGGTCGAGGCAGATGAGGAGAAGCCCCTTAAAAATGGTACCAGCTTGTCCTCTGACAATTAAGGTCTCCATCAAAAATGCTGTTGAGGGTGCCTCTGAACACCATGTTTGTCCATGAACAGCTGCTGACAGACTGCTTGCTTCTGGGGGTGTTATGTGTTGCCTTTCATGCCAGCACAGATTTGAGAGGGCCAGTGCTCTCCATCTTATTGCCAAACTCACTAACTTTAAAGTCCTCTGGGAGGGCACTCATGGGAAGCCCTGTACATGAGAGGCCCTGCCTCTGTCACAGCTACCAGACTAGGCACTTCTTACACACCACAGTAGAGTTTCTATAACTGCATACCCAGCAGTTAGCTGGGAGAGATAGGGATCTGCCATCAGGAACACTCCTGGGAAAAGAGCTCTCCCAAAGGAAGGCTCTCTTCTGATGCTCTGAGTTTTCAGTACATCACAGCAGACGAATGTGGCAGAGAGACAACATGGCAGCCAAGAAGCTCTCCTCTCTCTCTCTCTCTCTCTCTCTCTCTCTCTCTCTCTCTCTCTCTCTCTCGTGTGTGTGTGTGTGTGTGTGTGTGTGTGTGTGTGTGTGTGTGTTTTCCTTGCCAGGAAACCAAGCTATCCAGGCTTAGGCTTAGCTGGCAGTACTCCGCCCTGGTAGGGAAATCACAGGCTGGAGTGACCATAGGGAAGCCTTAGATCCTAAGTTGTTTTGGGTACTTCTGCCCAGTGTGATGCCTCTTTCTGCTTTGGCACAGTCAGGAGGGAACTAACTACCTGGGGTTGGAGAGGACAGGCTTGAAGAATGTCTCTCTGGGCCTCCTAATCTGAGCTCCTCTCTTGTGCTTGGCAGGAGCTGAGAATTTAGGAAGGGGCTACAGGCCAGCTCTGGCTACCAGGTGCCCAGATGGGGGAGAGTCCTCAGTATGGAGGTTCAGGTGAGGTGGACAGTGCCTGCTCAGCATCAGTCCTCTGTGGACTTAGGGCTTGAAGAGGCCTACAGGGCTGAGAGCTTTCTAGCCTGGCTAGGATTTCTGTCACCAGGGAGCTTGGAAGCTTCATTTACTGTCCCAGGAAAAACCTAGCCCCATTGCCCACCAAGAGATGAACCCTGGTGAGGAGTTGGGTCGTGGTTAACACCTGTGCAGTTTCCGGGCCTAGGCACTTTCCAGTGCCTGGTAGGTCTCATGCAGGAAGACCGACTTCCACCCAGGAGCAGACAATGCTCTGAGTTTTCTGAGGGGCATCGAAGTTGGAATGGGTACCTTGGACTGTCATGATCTTTCACATCTTTGCGTTCCTAGCCCATTGCTCCATGCCTGGATCCTTCACTGACACCCAGGGCTGATGTTTCAAGGTGCATTCCGGGTGAAGTTGCTCCCAGGGAGGAGAAAAGCCTTGAAGACATTTGTCGTCTTTCCAATTCTAGCCCTCACCCCATGTCTTTGTCCTCTTTGTCCTTTTTTTTTTCCAGGACCTCCCCAGACTGACAGAACTTTTGTTTTTTAACTTTCTCTCAACAATGAAACAAGTCACATATGTGCTAACCCACCTGGCCCTCCATCCACCTTCCACAGGGGA